CCCTTGGTCTGCGTGGACGGATAGGGTGGTGGAACTAGCAGGGATGATTATCATCATAGATTGCGTTCTCTTTCTTTTTCTTCTCCTTTTCTATTTCTTTACTTGCTCTGTTTCGGAGGTTTTGGTATCTGTATATAGAACAACAGCGAGAACTGGATAGCTCCTAGACCAAGCCGGCAGATTACTCTTCTGCTTCTGGTTCGCGGGTCACGTCGACCTTTTCAAGGACAGGTCTTCGTCAGAAAAAGAATTGAATCCTGACATCCAGTCGGTCACAGTGGTCCGAGCGATTATTGTTATCTGATTTCTCAGGACTATTGATAAACAATGGAGGCGAACATTATGAAACAAGCTGACTCCTATAGTGAGTAAAGCTCTATTCTCGCTAACAGTTGTGAGGGAAGGGATAAAGAATGAGAAACAGGCCCATAACACCGAAACAAAGAAACAGATCATTATACCCATAAAAATAACACCACCACACCTCAGGAGGCCTATACTATCCTTTCTACATCCATCTCCACTTCATACCCCGACTTCTCCTCCACAAGGTTCCCGGGGAACCCCACGGCCCAAATGACCATCACGGACCACATCAACACACTGTCGAAGACATACAGCGTCCACTCGTGCGTCAGGATATACCCATGCATTCCCATGGCGTACTCGATGACTCGAAAGATCGACCGGACCAGGATCAGCGCACTGACCGCATACAGCATGTACATCAAGCGATCCAACGGGCGGCCGTACTGTCCCAAGCGGATCTGTTGCTGCTGCTGCTGCTGCTGGGCCTTAAACCGCCGGTGGAACACCAGCGCCACGACGATGAAGAACGAGAACATGATCACCTGGATCAGCAAGCCGACCACGGTGATCGCCTTAGCGGTCGTCTGGCCCGTCGACCGCACCATCAGGCCCACGCCGCTTCCCTGCACGATGAACGAGAGGATGTCACTGGCGACGAACAGCTTGGTGAGGTACTTGGGCGGGATGAGCGAGGCACTCTTGGCCTTAGTCTCGGGGGCGGCGGCCGTGAGTCGCGGGGGCAGACTGCGGATGATGCGGCCCAGGGTCATGTAGACGGTTGCGGCGAACAGGACGGGGCCCAGCAGGATGAGCACGCTTTGGATCGCGTAGAGGCCGATCGAGGCCGTGTTGGAGTAGTTTAGGATCCGGACGATGTAGCCGACAATCTCGACTGTTGTGGTGGGCGTGTAAGTGACGGTTGTCGGGGGGCAATGGGATGTGGAAGGCGGAGGGGAACTTACATATGCCGCCGATGCTGAAGGAGATGTTGTACCATGCTCGAGTTTGGAAGAGCTTGAAGAACAGATAACAGGTTACTAGTCCAAACAGAACGGCGAAGATCGCGGCCGCTGGGATGGAAGGCAGGTATGTCCAGAGGTAATAGCCTCCTTCTAAGGGTTTGAGTTGTGCCATCTTGGGGGAGGGGCCTGATGCACACCCGGCCAACTATAGCAATCGGCTATGTGTGGTAGGTCCGAGGGATTGGGATGATAGAATTGGACCATACTGTCTCTTTGACCGGCCATTGTGATATATATATATATATATGGAGCTGAAACCCCCGCACAGGCATTGCTGGTAGATTGGGGGCAAGTGGAAATTTCTGAGGGCTGAATACGCGTATAAAAAGGATGATAGAGTGGTTCGTCGGCCATTAGGGAGACGGTTGGCTACCGAGTATATTACCCGATATGGTCTAGAGGGGCTGAGTGGTCTGTGCATACGCGTATCCCTCAAATAGGCAGGTCCCTGTTCAGCCCGCTGCGGGCTGTATTCTTTGCTCAGTATTGAATTTCCTTGTCGGCTTATTCTTCTTAGTCTCTACCTAATCTTCTGATATAATAAAAATAGCCCGCCTGCATCCTCATAGGTTCATCTCGGCTGCTGCCTGAGCCTCAATTTTTAAGCTTATCGGCAGACGTCGCCGGGTGCGGTAGTTCACCGTTGTTGGCCCAGAACCCTTCCCCCCAAGCCCACCCTTCCATACATCCCCAGGAAAAGATACTGCATAGACGGCCTGCCTATTCTGGATGATGTAAACTTGCGTCGGAAACATGACAGTCATGCCGCGTAGGACGCACCGAAAATCGCGCAATGGCTGTCTCGAATGTAAAAGACGTCATATCAAAGTGAGTCCGAATCTCTACCGAAACTTTCCACGGCCTTGACACATCGGCTAAACGCTGCTCATCTAGTGCGACGAGAAACACCCGCTCTGCGGCAACTGCCGCAGCTCGGAACGTGTCTGTGAATACGCGGATCGATTCAGGAGCGGCACGACCAGATCCGAACGAAGCAATGCTTCGACTCCGACCAACGCCGGGCCAAGTCCCGGTGTTGGTCCCTCGACACCACCACGGCCTCCTGGTGAGCAGCCTGCAGTAGGGCCGGCGACGACAACCTGCTCCGAGGATCAGCCCGTCAACATGGTCCACGCCGAACTGCTCTTCAACCTCGCCACGGAGACGATTCCCTCCCTCGGCGACATCGCGCTCTTCGGGGGCTTGTCCCCGGACCTCATGCGCGTCGGGATGTCGACCCCTTACCTGATCAATGAATTGCTGGCCCTCAGCGCGCTACACTCTAGTATAGTCCGTCCCGCTGAGCGCGAGCGGTACCGCCGCCACGCCGCCCAGCTCCAGACGCACGCGCTGGAGATCTTAGGTCAGGAGCGCCGGGACGTCACGCAGGAGACCTGCGTCCCGTTGTTCATCTTCTCGTCCACGCTTGGCCTGCATATGCTCTGCGACACCGTGATCTACCGGGAGGAGTCCAGCTTCGATGCCTTCCTCAACCAGTTCGTGCACTATCTCAAACTGCACCGGGGCGTGCGGGCCATCACCTCCGAGGCGTGGGAGGCGTTGCGCGGGTCGATATTGCAGCCCATGCTCCAGTACGGGCAGGAGAAGTTCGCGTGGGATGCGGACCTGGGGGCCGAGTGCCAGCGGATCATGGATCTGATCGAGGCGGCGCGACTGGGCGAGAAGACGACTGCGGTCTATCGGCAGGCGATTCGTGCATTGCAGATCTCGATACATGCGACGGGGGTGACGGACGCTGATTCGAGGGTCAAGTTCGTCGGTGGGATCACTGGGTGGCCCATCATCCTGGAGGTGGAGTACATTGAGATGTTGGAGCTGCGCCGCCCTGAGGCACTGGTGATTCTGGCGTGCTACGGTGTGATTTTGCATCAGGCGCGGCATGTATGGGCGTTTGGCGATGGGGGTCGATTCTTGATCGAGACTATCCAGACGCACCTGGGATCCCAGTGGGAAACATGGCTACGGTGGCCTGATAGGATATTAAGGGAGTCTCAGGATTGAAAAGTACGATTTTTGCTTTGTATATGTCTAGCTGTGGTACCGGTTATGTTGCGTGTAAATATACCCTTCGGTTGAGAAAAAGGACCCAGGAGAGGACATGTCACTCTCTTCGTTCTTGTTCATTCTTAATCGCCGGGACCTATAGAGTAGACCTGAGGTGAAAAGAAAGTACGTACGTGGGCTAGTCGCCAGCATTTTTTTGTGATGAAGTGGTGACAAAAACAAAGCCAAAAAAAGAAAGTGGCGCTGCCCGGAATCGAACCGGGGCTGGCACGGCCACAACGTGACGTCATACCACTAGACCACAGCACCTGTTGTTGTGGTAAAGACATCATTTTTGTGTAATATATCCCTAAATTATGCTTGAGACCTGGAACTTTAACTCTTCGGCAATGCAGGTCATCAACGACAACTATTGTAGTTATGTACATCTATTGAGTCCATTCATTGACCGGACGGCTAGAATCAGCCTATTGGATGGTGTTTCTTGTCACCCTGGCCCCAGTTCCACCCAGTTTACTGCCACATCTAAAGCATCAAGGTCAGCTGGTCGGGTTTCCACGGAAGCCATATATATCACGCGCATTGAAGGTCTACACCAGCCAGGACGATCATTATTCTCCACACCCGCGTGGCCATACGAAGGGTAGAGGTACCACCAGGACCATACAGCCAGATTTCAGCCAAAGACACCCAACAAGACCAGCAGTGAGTCGCAACGGGCTCGTACCTGCTCGCTCAGAGTCAGAACCACTAGCCTAGCATTACTCCATCTCCCTGCACCCACTAATGTATAGAACATACCGCCGACCTCGACGCCAAATGTAACAATGGAGTAAAGATAGCAAACATGGCCCATAAGACCCCTCAGCCCCGTGCTAAGTATAGACATGAACATCCACAAAATGTGCAGAGCGAAGCCCACACGAGCGTTCAAACACTATCTCCACCAATGACCCAACAATCCACAAAGAACCAGAACAAGCAAGAACAAGAGAGAGAGAAAAAAAAAAAAGACCAACGTAAGAAGGTAAAACAAAGGAGGCGAGAGAAAATGTACAAGCGCCATCTTACTCCTCCCAGCAACAAGGTGCATCAACCCCTCGGGCCATATTTCCGCAGAGGACATAGGCACAAATCACCACGCAGGGGGGCTCTGTCATGATTTTCAACATTCGATGCCCTCAAAGAAGGGTCGTTCTATGGTGTGGTTCGCCCGGCCTTTGCCAGCCCCTTTTGTTGCAGGGAATAGATAAAATCCCATACCTCTACCGTTCGTGTCTCGAGGCAAAAGCCAACATGCGAACTGGGAGGCCAGGGTCGAGTCACGGAGCGAAAAGACAATGCCCGAAGACCTTACTCAAGTGGTGCCCACTGCATGTGGAGCAGCGATGCGTACACCACTAGATGACGACCCAAGTTCAACCTAAAGTGCGCTTTGATCTGTGTTGATTGCGCGGTCTCCCGTGTGATGCCAAGTGTGGTGCAGATTGGTTTTCTGCGGCTTCTGGAAGAGAGCAAGGCACAGCAGATGGAACAGGGGATACAGAAAAAGACACCAGAAACCAAAAGGAAAAAGAAGCTCTTCCTGTAAAGGGAGACCGAGATTAAGCAAACAAGCAAGCCAACGTGAGTCTGAGATTAGGGGAAACACCTTTCATAGAGTGAAGCTGCTAAGTGAATAGACCTTGGATGGCACAGCCTGCAGGATAATCGTGCATCAATAGTAGAAAGCAGACTGTAAGCGTACGACAACTCTCCACCTACAAGAACCTAATGGGCACAACTCATATAAACTCGACCTACAAAACTTGTTTGATCGAAGCAAAGCTCGCTGTTTCCGTTGTACCCTAATGCACATAATATGTGTGACCCGTCATTGCCCACATTGCCCATTTACTTCACACATCAGATCAAACCCCCGGTGACAAACGCCGTCCCATTTCAATTCATTGCATTCTCGAAAACCCCATCCTGTGTCCTAATCCAGCCAAATTGCATAAATGATGTCCCAGCCAAACCCCAAGAAAGAAGTAGTACAGGAAGCGAAAAAGTATGCAAAGTCGACAAGAGCAAGAGCTTAAGCGGGAAAGGTTTTTTTCGTAGGCCAGACACCGAGTTGAAGGTAGAGGGAGAAAAAAAGGAAATTCGCGAGGGAAACCATCAAGTCAGTTGGAGGACATCGGCAGATGCCGTGAACCATGAGAGGAGAAAAGAGCAAAGCAGCAGAAACACAAAGAGCAAACGTTTTTTTTCCATTCAGTACATCGTGAGTGCAACCCCGCGGGGGAAATCAACCAAAGAAGCAACCAGCCAAGCTCTCGTGGAGTACAGATTACACACGTGAGGAGAACATAAAAAGGGAAATATGTGTTAACAGGTGGCATATAAGATGAGATATTTTCCTTACCGGGGTTTGCCGTACCCCAGGATTAATGGCAAAGAAAATAAAAAGCAAAGGGAAAAACAAGGGGTAAGAGCCAATGTAGATTTGATCACCAGTTAAGATGTAACGCCATAATCCCTTAGTGACCGTAGTTGCCTCCCCAGCCTCCACGTGTGTTGCCATAATAGTTAGCGAAGCCTGCGCCACCGTAGTTACCATAGCCAGTGGGTTGGTGGTGGGTCTGAGAACCGGCCGCCTGGTGACCGCCGAGACCACCCAAGCCGCCGCCGTACTGAGGGTTCAGGTGGGGGTAGCCACCAAAGCTTTGCTGACCCTGCTGACCCTGCAGCGGGGGAAGGCCGCTCTGGGCCTGAGGCTGACCCGGGGCGCTGTTCGTGGCAGAACCGGGGCGGTTAGCCTGCGCAAGAGAGGGGCTGGGTCCAGCCGCCTTGGGAGTATCGAAGCTCTTTGTCTCCTCGGACGTCACAGGAGGCTGTTGGGTGATCGGCTGGTTCTGGCCGAAGCTGGCCTGGGATCGACCAAAGACATCCGACATACCGGTTCCGAAAGCGGTTGAACCTGCGGCAGCGGACTGCTGGGTCTCCGATGGCTGAGCAGATCCAGTACGACCGTAGACCGAGTCACGGCCAGGGATGGTTTGGTTGAAAGAAGCCGCCGTGGCAGGGGAGGAGGTGTGATCATAAGAGAAGGCGTGGGGCTGACCGTACATTCCAGCCTTGCCACCATAGGGGCCATACTGGCTTCCGTAGCCATACTGGTTGCTGTGGGGCATGTAGTGGTCGTCGTATCTGCGAGCATCATCGTACATCGGACGGTTTCTGCCGTACTGGTTCATTCCGCTCATGTACGAAGCATAGTGAGGGTTCGAGTAGTAGGGGTATCCGTATCCGTAGTTATGGGCACCCTGACCTGGCATGTGCTGAGCCGTAGGTGTCTGGGTAGCGCCAGGGAGGGTGGGGTTAGGGGTGGTGTGACCGCTGTTGGGAGCCTCGACATGACTGTAGCGACTGGGGGGTTGGGTGGTGGGGATGTGCGGCTGCACTTCGGCGCCAGAGGCACCAAATCCTGCTCTCTGGGCAGCCACAGTGGCATCCTGAGACTGACCGTAGGAGCCGTAGTAGTTGTAAGGAAGACGCTGGTCAACGGCATAGAATGGCGAGTACTCGCTGCCGGTGGTGGCAGTTGGCTGAATAGGAGCTTGGTTGGCGAACGGCTCCTGGACTTGAGGCTGGGGCTGCGTAACCTGCTGGGTGAAGGGATCATAGGGCTTGTGGGCATCGGTATAGCGAGAGAAGTCGGCAAACGAGTTGTCGGCAGCAGACACCTGGGGCACGGGAGGAAGCCCCGGAGCCGGGCGGGCAACTGCAGGGGTTTCGGTAGGAGCCTGGGCCTGGGTGGAAGGAGGCAGAGAGGCGCGAGGAGCGACGGGGGAATGTTGAGGAGGTTGAGCACGAGTTTCCGCATCTTCCCTGTTCTCATCAATATCAACGTCAACAGCATCGCCGTTCAATCCCATGCTGCCGAACTGGACCGCCGCGCGGTCCACAGCGTGGTTGCCTGGCATAACTACAGCCTCCTGCTGTTCCATAACACGGCGTTGAGTGCCCGGAGTGCGAGTGCTGTGCTTCAGAGCACTAGTGGGTTGGATGCTGGCCGGAACACGTGTGGGAGTTGCAGCAACCGGAGCATTGGCAGCAGACTCGAGAGTGCTGCCCACAGTGCTAGCTGCGGTAGCGGTCGGGGCGGGAGGAGAGACGTCGGGGATCTGGGCGAGGTTGTTCCTGGTCAGATCGTCCTTGGGAGCGGGCACTTCGGGTGCAGGAGGACTGACGGTGGTTGATTCTTCGGTAGGCAGAGTCTGAGGGATGACAGGCTCGGGGGCTTTCTGTGCAGGCACTGGAACAGGGAGGGGAACAGGAACAGGAACAGGGGCCTGAGCGGGAACTGGTGCAGGCACAGGAACCGGCGCAGGAGCAGAAACAGGAGCAGGAGCCGGCGCAGGAGTAGGCTCAGCTGGTTTCTGCTCCTCCGCTGGTGCGGCAGCAGGCTTCTCGGGGGCCTGAACAGGAGCGGGAGCAACAGGCTTCTTCGGCTGGGGTGGCGGCGTGGGTTTAGCGAACAAACTGGCCCATCCCGTCTTTGCTCCTCCGGTGACCACACTGGGCTTAGGAACGTCCTGGACATTGTCTTTCGAGGCATCGGCAGGTTCGGCGGTTGCTGCAGGTTCAGCATCGACAGTGTTCTCCGTCTTGGTGTTTGCGGTGGTCTCGGGAGCAGCAGTAGCAGGGGTGTCGGTCACGGTGGTAGCGACAGCTGGCTTCTCAGTACGGGCGCCATTGGTGTGAGCACCAGCCCTGCCACCACGACCGCCACGGCCCCGATCTCCACGAGCACGGCCCCGGCCTTCGAACCCACCGCGTCCACGGCCCCCGCGGACAGAGGGAATGACTGACTCGGTCGGGGTGCTCTGTACCTCCTTGGGCTTAGGACGGCTGCGGTCTGTGGTCTTCTTCTTTACCTCACCCCACTGAGAGACGTTGCCTGGGTAGAGACACGAACCAATGTCAGTGGCTGACCGAAAGCGAGAAGCGAGGCATTGGAATAGAGGGAAAAGAGCAGACCTTCACTAATGCGATCAATTGCTGCCTCCAGGTCACCATCAGCATCCTCGAGAGCGAAGATCAAATCCTCATCGGTCCAATCGCTGAACAATTCCTTCAGCATGGGCAGGGTGTCGGAGTACTTCTTCTTCATCTGGCCGATTTCCCCTTCATCTTCAAATGTGGCGGGTGCGCCCTCTGAGTTGTCTGCCTTTGTGGATCTGCTACCACCGCGACCACCTCTGGAGCTATAGCCGCCACGACCGCCACGGGCAGATACTCTGCCACGAGAGGCAGAAGGCCTTGATTGAACTTCAGACATATCTTCTAATTGTTATTTGTGAATCTCCCGTATCGAGAGATGGTGAAGGGAGGAAGAAAGAGAATGGAGAGTGACCCAAAGTAGTCGAAGGGGAGAAAACAAGGTGCGGCTAGTGGGAAGAAAAAGCGGGTAAAAGGTCGTAATTTAGTGTACGGTAGCAATGATGGAGATGCAGCCTCACGAGAGAGGTCAGCAGCACCCAAGAACCACTAAGAAGGCACACAAGGGCCAACAGAGTCGGGGGAAGTCTTTAGAGATTTGGGGGAGGGAGAAGGGAGGATTTTAAAAAAGGGAAAAAGAAAAAGAATACGAGAGGCTGGAGAACAAAGTTGACACACACCAAAGGAAATAAATTCTTTGGAGAGAAAGGGAAGAGAGAGAGAAAGAGAGGGAAAAATAGGTGGGCAAAGTTGAAGGGGGAAAGAGTACAGGTAGGTTGGTAGGTAGGAGGTGCAGAAAGTTTAGCTTAGCAGATCGAGTTCATGGAATTGGATGGGGGTGGGAGGGAGCGAGAGTGAGTGAGTGAGTGACTGCGTATTGAATTGCTGAGGGCGGCAGACAAGACGAAACAGGACGAGAACAGTAAAAGGACAGTACAGGCAGATCTGTCGGGCGCGGCTCAGCAAAAGACAGCGTTGTGATTGGCTGCCAATCTTACTACATCTTATCCATACTGTAAGAAGATGATCCGTACCGTAACTATTAGCAGCCCTGCTGTAATGATGAATTATGTCGGGGTAAGCTTCTCAGTATGTAAACTACCTACGTAGTAACTAACCTCCCTCTATGAATTTCGTCATCCATCCACTATAAGTTAGGTAGTTAAGTCACTTGGTAACTAGAGGCGGATATTATTGACAACTACGATTCATTGATTGACAATTTGTGAGACAACTCAAACCTGTCTTATATTGATCCAAGGCATGAACCATAATCGTTTTCGAATCGATGGCCTATTGATTCTACATATCAGCCACGATAGTACTACCTACTTACCTGTACAATGCTTGTGGTAATCTTACACCATCGGTCCTTGGGGCGAATTGCGTGGTGAGGTGGCAGCAGCCCTCGCTCACCGCCCGTCAGTTTGGGTCGAATGATCGTTTGCCATGAGTAACCGCCCATCAGTGCCTCGATTTGACTAGTCCATAATATGTCATGTTGGCCCATCGTCAACGCATCTCCTCGGCCGTTCTAGGTCTAAGCATAGAACACTGCTGCTGACTCTTGTTGATTACCTCGCCTTGCACCAATCTTGCTTTCTCGAATCACAAATTCTTCTCAAGCCAGTCCGTTCGTTGAATTGTTTTGCCGACATCACGCCATGAAAGGCACGCCAAGTTTAAATTACGCTCCCTGGCTTAAGAACCTTCATCCCCCATTGCCCCGGACTCCTCGGCAGTCGCAACAACTCCTCAATGCCCTCACATCCTCCTTTCGACGTCAACTTGATCGCGAATATCCATCCAACCGTACCCCTACTCTCGATAAAGATGAGGTCTCTGAGGATCATCCGCCGAAGAATCCCGAGTCCTCCAGCTATGCGACGGATAAACATCTCCAATCAATCTTAGACAATCCGCTGTTCCGAGTGAAACCCCGCAAGGAGGTCAAGGCCAAGGATCCGAGTCAAGACGCAAGACTGGCAAAAGAGCCCATGGTGGTATTCGAAGAGTTGGCGGCCGCAGGCAATGTCACTTCCGCTGCTTTGAGCAATTGCCTGGTGTCTCAGTTACTCCTCCTGAGTGGCAAGAAGTCGGGCGATGACTTTGTCAAGGCAATGAGGGATTCCAGGACCGCATCAAGAATTGCCAGTTGGTGGTCTGCCTCCGACCCGCAGTCTCGACGATTATTGTTCCTTCCGCAAATAACACCTCTCATTACCAAGTTTCTGGTGGCCGAAAATATGCAGAACGTAGCTTCGAATTGGTTAAAGTTGCTAGCACAGCAGGACGCCCTTGGAGGCGAGGTGTTCCGACTCAAAAAGAAAGACGCGCGGATATGGTTCGGTGGGCTTCTGAACGACCTCGTGCTTGCTGAGGCTCGGTACGGGGGTGGAATAGAGTCCGCAATGCGACTTTACGTTTCCGCCGGTAGCATCACAACTCTTGATCAGACTTCGATAATCGATGACGAGTTCTGGAAGGCAACCCTCCTTTCTGCTGGAGGCCATCTGGGTCAACAAATCATACAGAATGAACCGGAACATGCCGGTGGCGTGGAGCCAAACCTCTATGAGAACTATGTACACATCATCAACACCGTGGCTGCCAATTCGTTGCTTCATGCCTGTATGTGTATGCATCATCCCACGCAGCCGGATGGTAGGCCCTACGTCCTCTATGTTCAAGCGCTCCCACAGGATCGGACCGCGTCATGGTCCAAGGTTAGAAGGGAGCATTTCATGCGTGCTGGCTTCACAGCCCTTCGCATCCTGCTTGATCAAAATAGGACTGTGCATGCTACTTGGCTGGCAAAGTACATGCAGAAGACGATATCACAGCATCTCGACCCCGAGGATGTACAATCGGCTCAATTTGAGTTGGCACGCCTCGAGCCCGCTTGATGGCTTTCTACAGAAAAGCTATAGACGTCATTCGAGGAGAATTCGCACGTCCCACGCATTTTCAAACACATAGGTGCAAGGATAAGCTGGTAATGATTCCGGCTTTCGATAATAGATCATGAGGAGACATTCGGCTACATCTATTTCACTACGTCTTTGCTCCCGATCTCAGGAAATCAGCGCACCTGCTCTATTCACCAATGGCTCAGCCCTTTGAGAGAAGCGAATCAATCATAGTTTCGCTTTGCCTGTGGAGAGTGCGCTGTATCAGTCTCGTGCATTCAAGTACTAGATACTAGTTATCAACCACGAGGGCCTATTGATCTTCCGTGACCCAAGCCGCCGAATCATTTCCATTGGATCCTCAACTCTTTCGACTGGACATGTGCTGCTGCTGAGCTCCTCAGCTCAAGTTCCAGCCCCAGTCACCTTCAGAGCCTTGGGGTGCGGGCAACCGAGATTGAGTTTCCGTGTGAAACGGGTAAGCGCGCCTGTCGTTCCGGCAAACGTCACCGCGCAACCTCACCTCACTCTCTCTGATCTATTGATTATCAATCGCAATTTTCTTCCTCTTCAAACAGTCGATCCTTCCCCATCGTTCAGATAGAATTGCTCTGCATATCTTGGGTACTATATCAGATAGGCCCATCACTACCACACCTCAGCTTTTTCCTTGTCGCATGCTTAGCTATGGCTACCGAAAGGACCAAAAACTCCAACACTCCTACGCTTCATGGTATGTCTGCATATTCACAGCCGGGCTGTGGATCTCTGTCTGATATCACACCGATCCTCTTGACTCGAATTGACGGATGTTTGTTTGTGCACTGACGTCATTACGCCAGAATCAGCCAGAGCTGTGGAAGCTGATGCGAAGAATCCCTCCATCGATGGTGCTCCACCCCTAGCGAACCGCAATGGCACCTTAAAGGAGGCTACAAATGAGGGACAGTCTAATGATGAAAGTAAATCCGGTGCACATAGAAAAGCTGGCGATGGGATGAACTTCTCTGGAGAATCACAACAAAGTGATCAGACTACTACAACTATAACCGCATCGACTGAAAAGCCGAGCGATGAGAGACAATCCGAGCAGCAGAGTACTGGTGCAAAGCGTCAGCGGCGTGAACATGCGTCAAGCTCGATGCAAGCTGATGCCGAGAATTTAAGCTCCGAGCATGCACTAGAGTCTACGCCAAAGAAACAGAAGACGAAGGAACAGCATGTCGCCGTCAAGGACGAAGTGTCGGCTCCTTCAGTTACAAAATCGAGTCAGCCTGCCAACGGGCCTAAGAGCTCAGCAGGCCGGCCAAAGAGGAGAAAGGACGCGCCGAAGAGGGATATTCCCACAGATGGCATTGGCAGCCGAACGCGGAGTCGTACCAAAATTGCTCTTTAATCAAACATCACTATCAGTAACTGATCTTGCGGTCATTAGGGCAAGTCTTCTACAGCTACACAGTGATGATCGTGTTGCACGTTGACCAGTCTTGAGTCTGCTACTTTTGTTCCTGCGTGAAATTTGTGCCCAAAGTGTATGTGGACATGGCCAATGTTAAGCAATAATCAACTATTTGAACAGAGTACGCAAGCGGCTAGGGTATGAATTCCAAAAGCACCATAATCGCTGAAAATTGCGCTAGGTAGCTTCCATAGTTAGTGAGAAAGTGGTCATTTCATGGGTAGGTATCATTGCTACACTACTTACACAAACTGTGCATTCAATACTTAAGTCTCAGCATTTTATACCGCATGTCGTCCCGGCTCTGCGCAAGTGGGTTGCAGGATAACTACGGAGTACACTCGTCATCATAGCAGAGCTGATTTGCTAGAGCAAATGCACAACGCCCCATTATAACACTATTGGGGTCATTGGATCAGGCCCATCGAATCCAGTCCAATGATAGCGTGTCTTACCTGCTAATCGCCGACATCGGCTTGATCGTCGCTGAGTCACATCCCGGAACGGAACAACACTCTTCGACCCCGCCATCACCGTAGGGGGCAAGTGTGTGTCATAGGTCTGGCAGCTATAAACTTATTTTCTCTTGCTGAAAAGTCTAGAAATTATCTTTTAACTCTTTTCTTAACTCCAATTGCGTGCAACTCCAAAGAACAAAATATAAATCATCATGCCGTCCAACAAGATCTGGCTGCGCGCTGAAACCAAGCCCGCCGAGGCTCGCTCCGCCTGTAAGTGCAACGCTATCTTGTAATCAGACTCGATTGGCGAAAGCTGGACTCAACTTACTTTATCATGCCTCGTCACCGCATCATACTGATCTTGTATAGTGACTCCCACCACTTGCAAGGCTCTTATTGACGCCGGATATGAGGTGACTGTTGAGCGCTCTACTCAGCGCATCTTCGATGGTAAGTGTATCTCACGTATTTGTAATGAACCTTGGGGGATTCAATGTCTAATTGATTGCTTGCTCTTTCAGATGCGGAATTTACCAAGGTATGCAATTCTGATTACACTGTTCTCATCGCGACGCGAATCTCACACCCGTCTGATAAAGGTCGGAGCGCCTCTTGTCGAAGAAGGTTCATGGGTGAAGGATGCTCCCAAGGACGCCTACGTCCTGGGTCTCAAGGAGCTGCCGGAAGATGATTTCCCTCTTGAGCACGTTCACATCTCCTTCGCACACTGCTACAAGCAGCAGGGTGGATGGGAGAAGGTTCTGAGCCGGTGGCCCCGAGGTGGTGGTGTCCTGCTGGACCTCGAGTTCCTCCAGGATGAATCCGGACGCAGAGTAGCTGGTATGACTCCATGATTAACTTTGTGGGTATTGCAGTTGACTGATAGTGTTGTGTGACAGCTTTTGGATGGTCTGCTGGTTATGCTGGTGAGTGCATCTATGGATGGAATTTGCCTCGTGCTTCTCGGCTAATGTAATTTATACAGGTTCCGCTCTGGCCGTCAAGAACTGGGCATGGCAATTGACTCACCCTGAGGGCGAGCCCTTGCCTGGAGAGGAACCCTATGCCAATCAGGATCTTCTGATCAAGTCTGTCAAGGCGTCTTTGGAAGCTGGGAAGAAGCAGTCCGGCCGCTCCCCCAAGGTGCTTGTGATTGGAGCTGTGAGTGTTGACCTCGAGTTTGTCACAAAGGAGACTTATCTAACAATATTTAGCTGGGTCGTTGTGGTAATGGCGCTGTGCAGCTGGCTAAGGATGTTGGTATCCCTGAGTCCGACATCATCCAGTGGGATATGGCGGAGACCAAGAAGGGTATGCTGCACTTGAACACAACCGTTGATCATCCACTAACGTCTCAATAGGCGGTCCTTTCAAGGAAATCATCGAAGATGCAGACATCTTTGTCAACTGCATTTACCTATCTTCTCCTATCCCTCCGTTAGTCTACCCATGTATCCACAAACTACCTTTCTTCTGAAGACTAATGACGAATTTAGTTTCGTTACACCTGAATCTCTCGCTACACCTAACCGCCGCTTGTCGGTCATCTGCGACGTGAGCGCTGATACGTAAGTTTGATTCTCGCCTGTCTCATTATAGGCTCCAGCTAACATACGCATTGCAAAGCACAAACCCCCACAACCCTATCCCCGTGTACAACATCACAACTACCTTTGACAAGCCTACGGTACCTGTCACCCTGCCGGCTGGCACGCAGGGTCCTCCCTTGAGTGTGATCAGTATCGATCACCTGCCATCTCTCCTGCCCCGCGAGAGTTCCGAGCAATTCAGCCAAGCTCTGCTTCCCAGCTTGCTCCAGCTCAAGGACCGGGAGAACGCCCGCGTGTGGAAGCAGGCCGAGGATCTCTTCCAGGAGAAGGTCGCTACCTTGCCTGAGTCCTTCCGCGCGTAGATATACCTTTGTGTGATTTTTGCCGACTTTTTTTTTTTTCATAAAGTCATTCTGTACAAATCTTCTTGGATGCCTGTCACGATGCCTTTGCTGGACTTTATTACGGTTGTTTTGCATGTCATGGATTGTCGTCTGGTTTACGTCATGCCATAAAATTAGACAGGTCTAAAAGCAATTATAACCACTTGCTCTTTTTCAAAGATCCAAGAAGCATCTTACTGTGCCTTATTTATGGGAGACGCTTGCTCGACCCTGGACGTTACTAGAGGATTTGGTGGGTTGGGGATCGAAGTTTTGTTGGATCTGCAGATTCAAGGGTCAAACAACACCTCCACTTCTATTCCCAAGCCTCAGCCCATGGACTCAAGCGGGCCGCATGCACCAGATATTCTCGTTTTTACAGTCATTGACGGGGGAAGGGTAAAGGATTCGCTTATGAGTCCAAATAACCCGTCTAACAGGAATCGTAACCGTACACTGGAGGCAGCAAGGGATCTGCACATTATCAGCAGATGTTCTTCCTTCAAGGCTATCGCCTGGTCCAGCCAACTAGGGGGGGCACATAACCCATTAATTTGCCTCACAATAAATACTGCTCTCACCACTGATGAGCCAGAATTAAAAGGGCGATGAGCTCTGGATACCATTTGTGGGGAAATCAGATTGCGTCGGGCAACATTGGGGGCCCACGAGGAATACGGGGCGCTCGGCGCTGAAGAACCTCCGAGATAACCCAGTAAGAGGATCAATGCTTTATTGCTTTTGCCGCCTCCTGCCTGCACCGAACAACTTGCATTGCAGCATCCGTACTGAGATGAGCATACCAAACGGCTACTTGTGCTATTATGCAGTGTAGTCAATTGATTACAGTACACTAGACTCGGCCTGGGTGAGACTGCCACTCTGATTGACGCCCCCCTCCCCCCTCTCTCCCTAAACCTTACCCCATTTTCTCTCCACATCCCTCGGTCTATGGGGGCAAGACAGCTGACGATTAGTATCCCACTAGAGCTGCCGAGAAGCGAACGTACTCCATCCGAACCCCCCGAACAGTGTCAGCCCGCTTGTACATATACGTACCTAGTTGGAAGGTCGAAGGAAAACTCAATAACAACTCGTCTTGGCGTGACAATCCGTCTGCCTGTGTTCACTCGATTGTCCACCCTCCGTGGCACATTTGTCCCATGGAGCGGCTATAGCATCGACCTCGATAGTCTGCACATATATCGCTATCCAGTTCTGACTGAACCTGTGGCTAGTCCACTTCACTCAAAAGAGCGATGCAAGAGAAGTCAACCACAGTCGCCGCATATGCGGCTGGGGCGTCTCTTGCGGCGGTCGCCCTGTTCTACGTCTTTGGACCCAATTACACGATCGATGGAGATGAGTCAAGCGACAGCGGTCGCAAAAAGAGTATTGTTGGGTTGTCGAATCCTGCCAATGACTGCTTCATCAATTCCGTGCTGCAGGCTCTTGCCGGCCTCGGGGAGCTGCGAGTTTACCTGATCAGAGAACTGCATCGACGGGAGTTGGATGGCCCAGAGATTTACAGTCTCGTCCCACCATTAGACGAGATCCCACGCGATGGGAAACCAGACAAAATACGAGAACTGCAGCAAGGGACCATCACTAGGGCGCTCAAGGAGATGCTGGATCGCCTAAATGAGCGCCCGATATACAAGAAAACGATATCCGCGCGACCATTCATTCAGTCACTTGAGTACGCTTACCGGACACGAATTAGTCGGAGTCAACAAGACGCGCAAGAATTCCTTCAAATCGTAGCCGAGAGGCTTTGCGACGAATATCATGCAGGAGTCAAGGCCCGACTGCGAGCGAAAGGCATGGGCGAGCCTAACCAGGTCGCTGACTCGGATAATGAACTTCCAGCGAAGAGCCCAACGGACATCGAAGTGCGCATCGATGACGGATCCCCAAATGGTCTCCCAGCAATCATCGATACTAAGCTCAAGGAGATTGAGAATGAACACAGTTTTCCTTTCGAGGGAAAGCTCGAGTCCCAAATCGAATGCCAATTTTGTCATTACAAATACAAGCCGAACCAGACATCGTTCGTCAATCTGACGCTGCAGGTTCCTCAGAAGAGCTCAACTACACTCAGCGCCTGTTTCGATGGCTTACTCAAGACCGAGTATATCGACGACTTCAAGTGTGACCGGTGCCGACTGCAGCATGCTTTAGATATCAAAACGCATGATTTGACCAGGGCCCGCTCGGGTGAGGAGAGAAAAACACTCGAGGTGGAAATTGAGCGCATACAGACCGCCATCTCTACAGACCCCGAAGGTAGCTTAGAAGGTGTCAGTCTGCCCCCTTCAGAGCTTGCTCCAAAGCGAAAAATCGCACGACATATGCGGATCGTCGCATTTCCCAAGATTATTGCCATTCATCTTTCTCGATCCATCTTCGATCAGAGCAGTTCGTCCAAGAATGCTGCGAAGGTATCTTTCCCTGAACGTCTTCCTTTAGGCGGTATTTTGAGTCAGAAATGGTATCGACTGCTGGCGATTGTCAGCCACAAAGGTAGTCATAACAGTGGACACTATGAGTCTTTCCGCCGTAACCACCTTTATGCACCCTTTTCGACTCCCGATGCATTCAGCTCGTACGCCCAGAGTCGAGCAACCAGTGAAAACCCTTCCGAGGCACCAAGTCCAAGGCTCGGAGCTCGTCAGTCTTCCGGGCGTGAGCCCTCTGCGCTCAGTATCTCGACACCTTCAGAACCACCGAGTCACTCGTCGCAATCGTCCCCAGCCCCTTCCCGCTCCACCTCAAGCAAAGAGTCTAAAACATCGTCTCAATCGAATCCCTTATCCCCGACTACTCGTCCTACTACATCGAGCTCGAGGCTTTCTTTCCAGAGCAACCGGTCTCGATCAACAACATCTAAGCAAAACCTGTCGCCTGTTTCTGATCCACTCAGTCCAGCGAATGATGGTGGACGCTGGAGCAAGACCTTCTCTAGAACGTCTCTTACCAGTGATCAAGGCACGCAGCCAACAACACATACGGCAGAGACCTCAGTAGCTTCTAGCTTCCGGCATCGCCGTCGTCGCAAGCAGAACGATAGGTGGTGGCGCATCTCAGACGAGAAGGTCAAGGAATGTAAAACATCTGACGTTCTGGGCATGCAGAAAGAGGTATATCTCTTGTTCTATGAGTTGGAAAGGCCAAATACTAGTGCATAGCTTGGGTGCAACGAACTTGCATAGAGAATAAAGGTCCTGCAGGTGTACATACTGGACATATCCATAGAAGGATGGATACTAGTTTGAAATAGTACTACTCTAGGGGATGGTATTCGTAACTCCTACCGGGTACATTATCAATTGGACCAGAGGGCATAACGAGAGTACTTAGAATTCTCTTGATGTCTCAGTCATAACTAATTGAATCGCCTTGTAGGAGTAGTATCTTTCTTATGCCCTCAGACACTGATTCACAAACAATGACTTAGTCATCCATACCGCGACCGCATTCCGCTCCATTACAGCATATGATTGGCGAGGATGGCAGCTTGCCCTGCTTTCAGGCGGGTGGATCCGAGAATTCAAGTGCTGGACTGACCAGGTCAAGTGCATGGAAGGTTGTCGGGAAGTCCAGGTCTCTGTTGTTATTTATTATTATTCTTTTTTTTAAATAATAATTGTGGTTTGACCTGTTCCAGTCAGGCAACACTAACACTAACACAACACACCCCCATCGCTAACTGACTTGCTTCCCACTTCCTCCCGTCCATCACATAACGTTAGGTCGGAGAGCACACATACCTACATTAGCGAAATTCAAACCCTGAAGCAGGTCGCTACAAAATAAATACGCAACTGCGCTCAATTTTCATCCCTGAAGTTCTGCATCAGCATCACAAGAGAAACATACGAAACTTCTCTTCTTTTTTTCTATCACTTTACCATGCCTCCCAAACGCGCAACCCGCGGAGCCGCCGCCTCCACCACCGACGGTCGCAAAGCGACAACCGCATCCTCCAAAGCTACCGCCCCTACGAAACCCCAGAAGAAGACAGAGTCCAAAGCACCTACTAAGGCTGCTGCTGCTACTACTACCACCGCGCCTGCCAGCCGGAAACGAAAGGCTGCTGAGTCTGACGATGAGTCTGCCGCTCCAGTTGCGCGCGTCCAGAAGAAACAGAAGGAAGGTGAGTGAGAACAAAACATCCCCCATGTCATCAACATTATCATCGCGCGCGCGCGCACCTTCCGCGCGGATGAGGGTCGCTGCGCTTGATCATCCTAGCTGACAGGGGGGCCTTTCCTTGGCCTTGTGTCATGATAGAAGCGCCTGCTCCGATCATCAACCACCCTCCCACAAAACGACTAGACGTCTACGTCTTCGGAACGAATTGCTACGGTGAGCTCGGTCTTGGAGACGCGACCAAGAAATCGGAAATCCCGGGCCCCGTCCTCAACCCCAAGCTCGCCGCGGACACCGTCGGTGTTGTCTACTTGGCTGTGGGAGGTGTCCACTCGGCCGCTCTTACACATGACAACAAGATTCTCACCTGGGGTGTTAACGATGAGGGAACCCTTGGACGTGATACCAAGGAAGAGAAGAAGGAGGTCGAAGAGACCAACGGTGTTAACGGGGAGGACAAGTCTGATTCCGACTCGGACGATGACGAGGTCGACTTGAACATGAAGGAGGCCACTCCCATGGCGGTCGACTCCGCTCATTTCCCCAAGGGCACTGTCTTCACGCAACTGGCAGCCACTGACAGCGCAACGTTTGCTCTCACCCAGGAAGGCAAGGTTTATGGCTGGGGTACTTTCAGAGTAGGTTCTTCTCCGAATTCTCTCGGACAAATTGTATTTTTCATACTTATGATCTCCTAGGGAAGCAACGGTGTTATTGGATTTTCTCCTGACACCAAGTTCCAGCGCACGCCGATCTTGATTCCCGGACTCGAGAAAGTGACCGAACTTGCTGCTGGTGCACAACATCTCATGGCGCTCACTTCCAGCGGCCAAGTCTTCACCTGGGGATGCGAGGAACAGAACCAGCTGGGACGGAGAATCTCTGGCCGCTTGCACGGCAAGTTGGAGAGTCTCGTTCCCGGTAAGTGTGCCTTGCCCGCAGGAATTGTCAGCATCGGCACCGGCTCGTACCACTCCTTCGCCGTCCGCAAGAACGGCCATGTGCACGCGTGGGGTTCCAACAACTTTGGCCAGACTGCTGTTCCCATGAGTGCGGGCCAGAGTGACGCTGTGGTGCTCTACCCCACTGAGGTTAAGTCCTTCCGCGAGTTCAACAAGATCGTCAGCATCTGTGGTGGAAAGGACCACAGCATCGCCGTCACGGAAGATGGCAAGTGCCTGACCTGGGGTCGCGTCGACAACAAGGCCCTTGGTCTGGCGCTGGCCGATATGCCTGCGGATGATCTGGTGCACGATGAGCATGACCGGCCTCGTATCCTGACCAAGGCCACGCCGTTGGTCGACATCAAGGATGAGCACATTGTCTTCGCCACTGCCTCCAGCGATCATTCTTTCGCTATCACCAAGGATGGTCAAGCGTACAGCTGGGGCTTCAACGTTCAACGCCAGGCCGGACACCGTGAGCTTGACGAAGTCGAGCGACCAACTCTTCTCCAGAACAAGCATGTCACCGGCAAGAAGCTGGTCGGTGCCTCGGCCGGCGGACAATTCAGTATGCTCGTTGGGGAAGCTTCGCCGCAGCAGGTGAACGGCGAGAAGGCATGAAAGTAGTAGCTATGTAAATCTGGCGGGTGTTCATGTTATTGTTTTTTTTTTTTTCTAGATGGACTTGGCTTGAAGAGCTTGTATTACTAACAATGTGATATCGCGATAATGGGAATTTTCTTCTTTTCAAGTTGAATACAATCTGATCTTGCTGAGCATCGTTGCTTCTCTATGTTTTGTTTCTTCGTCCGTCCTGAAGCATACATATCTTCTGTACCTCGAGAGTGTACGTTCTTGTTATGCTGCTCTAGTACCTGATCAACTCCCAAGCCCAGAGGTCCAAAGATAGAGAAGCCCGTTCCGCCTCGGGAGTCGGCAGTCTGCCCGACTTATGGCTAAACCCGGGGGCCCGTCGAGGTGATTCTCCACTACCGCCTGGCCCTGTTACACTATATTTGCTTATTTCTCCGTATATCGCTGGTTTCGAGCAGATCAGCTGGACTGGGGTAAAGCAGTCTAGGCCCTTGGAGAAGGGGGGGGCAGAAATCGAGCGAATTGATTGGAATTTCTTGTTGCATCTTATGGGCGGAGGAATTCTCCCCGCCATTTTTCCGATGGATAGATGGGAAGCACGAAAGAATTACGGAGAGCCCGGGGAAAGAATAGAATGATATACCCGATTTACGGAGGGATTGGGGGAGAGCTAACTGATAGCCGGTGTTGCTGCTGGAGGAAGAGAATGACAGTACGTTTCAGCTTGTATGCAGTCAAAGTACAAGTAGCAAGAAGACATGAGCACGAGTAGTCTTCCAAAGGCAAACTAGAACAACAAGCATATCATCGTCGCGAACTGCAAGCAAGCAAGCAAGCAAGCAAGCAGAAACCAACCGGTCGAGGGGAAGAAGATCACTCGTAAACCAGCTGCAGGGTAGACAGGGTGGACAGGCAAGTGGAACAAGCCGGGCCGGGATGATGTCAAGGGAGGGACGCGGGGATTCCCGGGAAGCCGGCTGCGGCCTGAGACATGAGGCAGGAATGGAGCCCTGCAGCCCGCAAGCCGCAGCGCGCGTCATCGGCGGCTTCAGAATGGAAGCATCATCCATCAATCCATCAAGTTCATCATCCATCGGACCTCAATTGTCCGGTTACGTTTCACTTACCGTACTTTAGGAGCGGTTTCGATCCCTTTCTTCGACCTCAAGCTCTTCTTTCTGTGACTTTCTTTCACCTGGTTCTTGCTCGACTACAACCCAACAAACAGCATTGAGCACTGATTTCATACTGAACACATCATTCCCCACCAGCCGGTGAGTTCTTCGAGCACGCACTGCGAATCTGAGCCCCTCCACCATCCATGACACACTTCGTCATTCAACTGTGCCCCTCTCTTTCTCTTGCCCACCACTGCTGCATGCTTCCCCACCCCACCCCCTCCTCTCACCTCGTCCTCTCAAGTGGTTTTCTCCCTAGCAACCTTGAACTCTCACCCGTTGCCCCTCCCTGCCCGATTTAAATCTCCAGCTCCGTATTCGTCGCTCGGTAAAGGCCTGTTAGTTCAAAGCTATTCCCATAATTTATTTCAACCTTCTGTCCTCTCCTCGCTCCTCTTTTCCTCTTCTTCTCTTCTCTTCCCTCTCTTCTTCTTCCCATCCAATCTTCATCTCTCCCTCAATCCATTACTCATCACCTTAACCAGTAAACCATCAGACTTCACAACTATCACAATGGGTGTCCTTGACAAGCTTTCCCGCAAGGCCGGTGTCATCGTCGGTGATGACGTCCTCCGCCTCTTCGAGTACGCTCAGGAGAAGGGCTTTGCTCTCCCCGCCATTGTAAGTATTGCGGGCCAGAACAGGTCTTTCCAAAGCTTCAAAGCAGCCTAGAGCTAACCCACTTCTACCATTGTAGAACGTGACCTCCTCTTCCACCGTTGTCGCTGTCCTCGAGGCTGCCCGTGACCAGAAGTGCCCCGTCGTTCTGCAGGTCTCCCAGGGTGGTGCTGCCTACTTCGCTGGCAAGGTATGTATCTCACGAGTCCTGTGCATGATCGAGACGGGCATTGGCTGACTGTGTACTCCAGGGTGTCAGCAACGACGGCCAGAAGGCCTCCATTGCCGGTGGTATCGCCGCTGCCCACTACATCCGCAGCATTGCTCCCGCCTATGGTGTCCCCGTTGTCCTCCACACCGACCACTGCGCCAAGAAGCTCCTTCCCTGGCTCGACGGTCTCCTCGATGAGGACGAGCGATACTTCAAGCTCCACGGCGAGCCCCTCTTCTCCAGCCACATGATCGATCTGTCCGAGGAGCCCGTTGAGGAGAACATCGAGACCACCGCCAAGTACCTTAAGCGTGCTGCCCCCATGAAGCAGTGGCTCGAGATGGTAAGTGCAATGTGAACTCCCGTGTGACGTCTTTCACTCCGCTGACATCCTCTCTTCAGGAAATCGGTATCACCGGTGGTGAGGAGGATGGTGTCAACAACGAGGACGTTGACAACAACTCCCTCTACACCCAGCCTGAGGACATCCTCGCCATCCACAACGCTCTCGCCCCCATCAGCCCCTACTTCTCCATTGCCGCTGGTTTCGGCAATGTCCACGGTGTCTACAAGCCCGGCAACGTCCGTCTCCACCCCGAGCTCCTCGAGAAGCACCAGGCCTACGTCAAGGAGAAGACTGGCTCCAGCAAGGACAAGCCCGTTTTCTTCGTCTTCCACGGTGGCTCCGGTTCCTCCAAGGAGGAGTACAAGCAGGCCATCAGCTACGGTGTTGTCAAGGTTAACCTCGACACCGACATGCAGTACGCCTACCTCACCGGTATCCGTGACTACGTCCTGAACAAGAAGGACTACCTCATGAGCACCATCGGTAACCCCGATGGCGAGGACAAGCCCAACAAGAAGTTCTTCGACCCCCGCGTCTGGGTCCGTGAGGGTGAGAAGACCATGAGCAAGCGTGTCCAGGTCGCTCTGGAGGACTTCAACACTGCTGGTCAGCTGTAAACCAAAAGAAGCTTATTAATGTTTCTCTGATGTGATGTGTTTTCGGATTTGACGAAACCAGATACCAAGTACATAAATTCAAAACAATTTCTTCGTTAATTCTTCGACGGGGAGGAAGGGGTGTTTGAGTGAGCGTAATGTGGATTTGTGATGCAGTGTTGATGGGTTGATGTCCGTGGGGTAGGAGTCGATGATGTATGTAGTCGAGCTTCTTGACTTTTGAAGTACGCTAAAGGAACAATCACTTTCAACGGCTGATTGCAGAGTTATACTAATTCGGTCATGATTCGTCCTTTCCGGTCATGAAGACCTATTGACTCAACCATGTCAGGTATCCTCGTCAGCCCCCCGGTGCTGCATGAGTTACAGTCTGCTGTTCTACTACCGCATTCCTGGCTCCCAAGTGATTGTACGAACAGCCCTTCGGCACACTCAATGGAACACAGGACCGGCCGAGGTGCTGACAAGTACAGATTTATCGGTCAAGCCAATTGAGTTTTTTCTCCCAAGGTGAACCGTGGATATATCGGCAACATTGACAAGGTGGCCAACCTTGGCATCAACGTCTCCAAGACAATCGATCAATCTTACGCTGGGGTTTATAAGCCCCTATAACTGGATATGTGACATGTCTCGCTCGCATGGCTTAGATGGTAAAGCGCAGCACTAGTAATGCTGAGATCCTCGGTTCGAGTCCGAGTGTGAGCAGTCGCATTTGTTTTTTGCTGGTTGTCCTTTTGCTTCTTGTTGGGGCTTGAACTGTGCTTGAGGTTGTGGGTCCTTGTAAGAAGGTTGCTCTCTCTCTTCTTCATTGTTCTGATGTACATATATATATGTTGCTAATTGGCCTGTCTACTTTCCTGCTGCTGGGAGGTAGTGTGACCGGCTTGGGGGAGGAACGTTGGACGGAGGCTATTGAGATTGATATATGTTTGCCATGTATATATGTTCCATGGGCCAATTAGGATTGAATACATACCCAGTAATGAGCCTAGGACTTTGAGACGGTTGCCTTGTGTGCCATAATGCCATGCTGTTGTGCATCTCCGCCACACACAGAAGATCCGAATCGGTATATCCCGCATACTACCACAACTCCAAGCATCGTGGTGCACTCCATACGGTTCAATCAGTCCCATTCTAGCTCAGACGTGGTTAAATCTCGTGTTTTAGTGAAGTGGTATACTCTGGCCGCCGGCGCATGATTCCCCCATACTAAACCAAGAAGCAGAATATACGGAGCTAAGCATTGTAGTATCCTGAACGTGAGTCGCCGGAGTTGATATGAATCGTAAGGCTCATCGTGCTGGGGGAGGGGGAATGCTGGCGATAGTGCCGTGTGTTCCTCGGTACTGTTGGTGACTGGTGTTATACTCAGTCTGGACGGCGCCGTGGCTGCGCTTGGATCGTATATCTATGGGATATATGGATAGCGCCCCGGTCTTTGTCTGCACCCGGTTTCTCGCGTACAAGCACCAGTACTAACTCGTCTCTCGCTTGCCACATCTCTTTCTCGTGATATATACGAGCACGGCTCTTGTGTAAGCTGCGCGTTGGGGGTCCTTGGCCATTTTCCATCGACAAAATGGCCATGGGAAACTATACTGTACCCGTGCCTGTTGTATGAGTTCATCATAAGCTCTGTTAGTATATGAGACCCCGGGGTCTCATGTGACAAGCAGCACTATGCCCCGGAATAAATACATTCTAGCCAGCATCAATGGATTGGCGGCGAGTTAAACCATTAAGTCGCTGGCACATCCTCAGTATATCAGGAACTTCCACTATAGCCTGTACCTGAATGTCAGGCTAGGGAATGTCAAAAACAATAATGAGCTTTGTCTGAGTACTCATGGAGGATGGATGATGCTCTTTCTGCACGTTGATCTCATTTGTTTCAATTAGTGATCGGTCTTCTAAAATAAACTTAGAATATGAAGGTAAACTTTGAGAGCTAGATCAACCAATCAGCTCGCATGGCTTAGATGGTAAAGCGCAGCACTAGTAATGCTGAGATCCTCGGTTCGAGTCCGAGTGTGAGCAAACGTTAACTTTTTGCTCTTCTCGTCAGCCCTATACCGACTAACTAGGGCCTCCCCTCATGTTGGCAAATATACAAAATCGCTCACCCAAGCAGCTCGCATGGCTTAGATGGTAAAGCGCAGCACTAGTAATGCTGAGATCCTCGGTTCGAGTCCGAGTGTGAGCAAACGTTAACCTTTTTGCTCTCGTTACAAGCCCATCCATCCAGCTTCTTATCAAGACGAATTTGCCCGAAGGTTTCACCTGCGCTTTTAGCGTTATGCATGCCT